TTTATATCTCACGTAATAAATGTAATTTGTGAATCTTTAAAGTTTCTTACTGAAAAAAAATTATCAAATTAATTATTAAAGTATGTAAGTAGTTCTTAACGAACAAAACGTTAATTAATTTTATACAGAAGTGTATATTTTCAAAGTATTATAACAAACAAAACCATTCCCAATGTCAAACGTAACCAATGTCTTACTCTCTTAATTAATTATCTAATTTCGAACCCTCTTACCTCAATCTGTTAGTTCCAACCCGAAAGTATTTCGTTGGTACATTATAATGTCACAAGGGTCTTCTTTATCACAAGGTTCAATGTCAGTGAAATCTTTTTATTAAGTCCTCTAGATTAATCCTTATTAGATTAGATTATAAACCAAACCCAGTGACCATGGGAATAGCTAAATTATTCAAGTAAGGTTTTAAGGGATAGTATTTTTGCTTACCAGAAATTAACTCGTATTACAAAATTCCTGGTAATTTCTCCGTCGTAAGTAAGAACATTTAATCACCAGTATTGAGATAATGTGCGCAGTTTACAACGGACAGTGTAATTTGTCGTGTTTCAAGCTATTTAGTGCATGCCCAGGAATCACTATTTCTTTTGTCTTCAATGCTTTTAAGGTAATGTACGAGTAAAGTTCAAAGTATGTAGTACAAATAAGAAAAAACAAAAATCACAAATGAGTCATTTTAAAGAAAGAAGCATTTATTAGAAAAAAATGCTTTTTATTTAAACCTTTTACTGTCTAATATAACGTATAGACAATTTATAAGATATAAAATATTTTTCCCAGTATTACATACAAAGTTTGTAAGTGTGGTTTCATAATTTTTATTGTTGAAAACTGAAATCAATTAAGTCAAGATTTTATATTTATTTATTTTTCTATAACAGTAAATCATTTGATATAAATACCTAAGGACTAGCAAGTCCGCTATCTTTATTTGAAAAACATTAACGCATTAACTGAGACTAAGAAATTTATAGAATATAATATAAAATAAATTTTGTTTTTCTTCTGAACTGACTAACTGAACACCAAACAATACCTCGATCGTTAATTTTCATCAAAGATATTGTTTCACAGTCAATTCCAGTATCAGTGATTGAATTATGTTATTCGCATTTCCTACAAATTAAATGCTCATAACAATACATAAGGATATAACTTACGTTCCTACTAAATATTAAATTTAACTTTAAGATTTCCCTGAAACTATATTTTAGTTATTAGGTAGAAATACATACATAAAATCATATTTCGTTTCAGTATAAAGACAATTATATTAAGTACCTAGTTATAATATTTTGAAGACCTAAAATTCTGAAGATTTTCTAGTAACTATTAAGTATTATTTTATAATCTGAGTGCTTGTTTTAGTCTCAATTTATAATTATATACTCGTTATATATACAATTATATTTTTAAAACGATTATGATGTCATAAAAGAATTTTGAATAGGGTAATCTCTACGATGTTCAATGATTGGTTTATTTATTATTTTTGAAAGCTTTTCTCAAATCTGTTGGTAAGTATATAATGGTTTCAATAGAAAGCGGCTTACGATTTTGACAATTTTAGTTTGTAGAGAAGGTCCTTCTTTATATTAAGATTGTATTGAGGTTGATATAAATGATATGAAATTCTTTTTATAAATCTTTGCTTACCCGAATATAAAATCATAATATTAAAAAGTGAACTTATTTTCTTACAAGAACTATTTTTCAGACCACATAAGAAAGTTTATATCAATAATCGATACCTCCTAAGTATACTGAGTCAACTAACAAATTTAGGTATTTTTATATAAACGTACGTGATAAGTCGTGATCTTAACGTTTGTGTTAAAAAAAATAAAAAGGAACGATAATTACCGAAATAATTTCACGTATACTAAATCAATTGCAACATCAGTAATAATTATAATTATCAGTATTTTTAACTGATCTAACTAACATCGTAGCAGTATACGCGGGGCGTGAGGGAGGACGCGTTGATACAACTACATCGCAGCTCAGTATACGATGATGAGCATAGAGTACTAAAATGCAGTCAAACAGGGCGCAAAAAATTTTAAATTTACTCAAAAATACCATTTGTACAATAAATAATCACAAACAAACAGGAATAGATGATATGATACTAACAAGGGATGAAGAGGGTAAGTGGACAACGTACATGAATATAACTGGTTAGTTTTATAAGTTATACCATTTCACTATTGAGCCCCGCCGGCGTATACCCAGTCATCTACATAAAATGTAATTTAAAAACAAAAATCAGCAAAATCATTATATGTCAAAGGAAGTGCTTACAATTTTTATTAAAAAACATTTACATACTTTATTTCGAATTAATTTGATTTCATTAAAATATAAACGATTTGCCTTAAAATCACTCTCCTGTAAAATTACAATAATGTCAGTTGACTCATTATAATTAGGAGGTATCGAATTAATAACTGTTTAAAAAATACAACCTTTTTTATAATAGGTCATTTGGACACACTTATCTTTTATACAAGTCGCTCTTATTTATTGTGATATTATAATAATAAGCGCAATGAAGCCACAATTAATCTCATTTCATTTCTTTCCAAACTTCTGTCTTAAAATTTTGTCTTGTTACATTTGTAACTTTTGTACAAGTTAGAGGGACGGTGAATGAAAGTATTGTCACTTGAGATTAACTCTAATTGACTTTGTTAAAGGGAACAGACGAGTTAGTGAGGCAGTTTAATTAGTGCCTACTGACTGACTCAAAATAAAAGGAAAATATTACAATATTAGGGGATGAATAAATAAAAATTGTTTATATTTTTCATACAAATCATACGCTAATACTTTAAAGAATTTTCTTGGTTGTGATTACCCTTCAAGGAGTTAATAATCAACATTATGATTCACAAGATCTATAGTAGATATGTATATAATCAAAAAGAAACTATGCGTGAATGAACCATAGAAATAATATATATTTTAAACTGGATAAAATATATATACTGTCTTACACTGACATTAACTACATATTTTAGATGAAAAATATATTGCGGTTCTGTTATTATTATTCATGTGTCGATCCATAACTATTTATTTTTATTCTAAATGTATAGTTTTCCCAGTGCTTTTAAAGGATAAAATTCATCTTTCGTCCAGTTCAAACAAAACGATCATCATAAATCATTGCTGAAAATTGTGAAGGTTCGTTATTTTCTGTCCGTTATTCAGTTTTTTCGGTTAAACTGATAAATGGATGCACCAAAGTAACTTGATTTTATTTTGAACTTTTTACTCAGCACTTTGACCAGAGGCAATGAAAATATGCTCTATTTTGTCAATAAAAAATCAATAACTCTTCTATGTTACTGGCTTTCTTAATCATAATGTATTCCTCCTAATAATTAATCTCGCTTGTTTTACTTAATGTTTAGGCAAAGACTAACATGATTAATTTTATTATTAACTAGTTTTTGCCCGCGACTTCGTCCGCGTTAGTTTCGTCATTAGTAATACATACATATATGTATAGCTGACCGGGCAAACTCTATTCCGTCTTAGAGGCCATAAATAATCAGGTTTTTCCTGTTTCAATCAAACAGAATGATTGACATATTAGTTAGTTGTCAAATCTAATTTAAAAAAAACCGTTTGTATGGGAAATAGAAAAGGGCTGGTTTTAGGGTTTTCCCGGCAATTATTCCAATTTTTCTCACCTTTTAAACCTTCCCTGGACTTCCAGGAGTATTTCAATACTAATATTAGCCTAATCGGTTCAGCTGTTCTCGAGTTTTAGCGAGACTAAGGAACAGCAATCCATTTTTATATATATAGAAGATTAATAACTTTATATTTTGTGTTTTTATAACATTATTATGATGAAAAATCATTTAAAAATTATATTTTTCATGGTGTATTCTAAGTTTATACTTAAAATTTGTTTGTTATACTCATGATACACTCAAAAGAAACGTAGAGGTCAGTGGATGGTGTTATATAACAATACATTAATGTCTAAGTTTACTTGTTATTTTGTACTTATAACAAACTGTCCCCTTCTAAAGTGACAACCACCTTTTAGATCAATCATAGTATCAAGTTACAAAAATACCACGAACATATTATATTTTTTATTTATAGTCGTTCAGTGTAATACAATAAAAAATCGATAAACAAATTAAATTCCTTTTACTACGACCTAGTCATGTGAATTATTTTGAATATTTAATGGTTATTTTTAAGAAAAATGAATTGATGAACCAAGTATGTATTTGATAGCTATTATAATAATTATTCTATTTGATTTAATTTTGAAACCTTCGTATAAGTGCTATTTGACGTTACTTGCGCTAAGTTTCAGAGAGTTTGTGAGACTTGCTCTTTACTGAGAATACTTAAACTATGTTTATTGATGATCTTCTGGGTTGATGGACTTTTCGTCTTCCAATATTGAAGTTTTGATATAAAGTTACAACTTTAAGTTTAATGGAACCTTAGATTTTACGTAATAAAGAACTAAGATTCGCATTAAATATAAGTTCTAATTCAGTTTTGTAAAACGTACTAAGTAAATAAAATTTAATGTTTTGTTGTTGATAAACTTTGTGATAACAGCAGAATTAATGAATTATTAGTACTTTATATATAAAATCTGATTCCCATATCTTGGTATGTGGTTTATGGTCTTAAATAATAATAATTTTAAAGGATTCATAAATATATAATGAATTATCCGTATCAGAGCCAACTTATGAATAACTGACGTTAAACTATCAGCAACGTAAATCTATCTAAGTAATATGATCGTGTAGTGCTCGTATTGATACAGGTGTAGTGCTATGCGAAGAAATATAACAATAACAAATATACCGATAATGAGACGAAACTACTAAGCATTCCATGGATTCACCGTGCCGGGGTGCCGGGTCCATCGCGTTGCAGGGAGAGGAGCTTCAACAGTGCCTGGGACTTGCGACCCAAGTGTAGGTTTAAGGGGCCCCTTAACTAACGCGCGTTATACGCTCACCTCCACTGTCCAAGCTCCTCTCTCTACCTAACCAAATTTGAAAAGAACCTACTAGGGCTGCCTTCGATATACGTTCCAAGAATGCATTAATGTGAGTTCTGGACAAGCCCAAGTCCTTTAGTAGGTTGTAGAGAGATTTCGCTGTTATACCTCTCGCTCCCACCTCTACCGCGTACAAATCTACTACGAACCTATTTCGAGTGAGTTCGTTTGTGAGCTCGTAATATTTGTTGACCTTGATGGTATGGTCTTTGGGGATGTTGGTTTCCCAAGGGACCGTAAGCTCTATCATCACTACGCGCTTTAAAATTCGCGAAAACAAAAATATATCCGGTCTGGAGGCCGACGCACAAATATCCTCGGGGATTTTATATTGCTTTTCATACGTGTCCATCATTATAGTCCAATCCGACGCCGCTTTAAGGATGGAGTAAGGCTTGACGTTTGATTTTGTAGCCCTAGTGCCTTCTCTCACAAAATCTACTGATCGTTCGTTTGTGGTTATTTCCTTTTGCGCTCTGGCTACCGAAAGACTAACCGCTTCACGTATGATTTCTAAAACCCTATCGTGACGACGCGAGTATTGACCGCTGTCCAGGAGTAACTTACATCCCACCAGCAGATGCTTAGCAGTTCCAACTGCCTTTCCACAGATATAGCAAGTTTTTTCGGTACTTTTACCCCATCTTACTAAATTACTCTGATCTGGGAGAGTCATCTGGAACGCATTGAGATAGAATTTTAGCAATGCTGGCGACCAATCATAAATTAAAGTGCGCCATTTTAATGCTAATGGGATGCAAAAATCTCCTATGTCTAATTGCATGGATCTTATATTTATCATTCTCGTCTTGCCGAATAAAAGACTTCAATATATCCGCATCTTGGACTTTCCTATTTGATCCTAACCCCGCTCTGTTACTTTGTGCTCCTATCATAAATTGCTTATGGAATTGAAGTCGTGACTCTAGCTCAGGGGCATCTTCATCTTTTGGGAGCGATGTCACTATGTCATCATGGGATTTCCCCAGGATATATCTCTTGGAAACTCTTAGGTGTTTATAGAGCTCCGATGGCCTTTTTAGACTCATCCCAAAACTATTGCTTCCCCTAAATAACGCCGATGAATCAGCCGTTAGAGCGAGCCCGAGCCACAACTTCAACATCTTTATGACGCCTGCATCTAACTTTGACAAAAGGGTTTTATTAAAATCATAGACGAGGAAAGGCCAATTCAAACGTGAAGTTAAGTAATTCTCGTAGATCCACGCTTTTTTGACGTTACTTATCAGTTGGCTATCTACCTTGTTAAGATCGTTCAAGAAGCTATCTACTATTCCTTCTAAAGATGGAGTACGGCCTATATTAACAATCTTACGACCGAGAAGTTTAAATGGTGCATTTTTCGTAACCGTAGAAATGCATTGACCGCCTAACGATAGTCCCGGATCGTATGAGGTATATCTTGTATTCCGCCTACCAAGACACAGACAATGACATTTACTGGGTTTTGTCCTCAATCCATCCGTCCACTCACAGAATTTATCCACTTCATCCAATAGTACTTGACAGTGTTTGGGGTTACGTGTCAGTATTGCGAGATCGTCAGCGAAGGCTAAAATGGATTCCGTGTATTTATTATTAAACTTAAACCGAACAGAAAAAACTATCATACGTATAAATAGATTTCACCCAATACTATTATGTCTATGCCTTTGAATTATATAAAGGGATGAAATGCTATTTATTATCTTAGTGTGTATGTGTTGTCTAAAATGAATAAAAACGAAATTGTATCCAAATCTGGTATTTTTTAGTAATTAAAATAACCAAGATATCTTTTTTTATTTCTTTTCTATTAAATTGTATTTATTTACCTCAGAAACAAAATCAATATTTGGGTTTAATTTCAACTATAAGTATATTCGAAATAGATAGTCCAAACTCTCAAGACACTGTGATTGTATGAAGTAAAGAAAGAATGATTTTTCTTGGAAGTCAGAGAAAAATCCATTTGGAATTCAAAATTTTTGTATGTAAGAGGATATGCTTAATTTGAAAAGCTTTGATGTACTCTGTGGCTAGCTATATATAATAAGATCTCATGCGGTTTTGATTGAGTACAGATACAAAGTTGCTCGTATGTAGTAGTCAGGTTAGGGTAAAGATGTTTGTTATCCTAATTAACAAGAAAATCACTATGCGAATCACAACTAAATACTTTTAAGGACTGAAAACTAAAATGGTGCCTAATAGTTTAAATGAAACACAAACAAAAGCGAAAAACATAATAAGCAATATAGAAAATTTGTAGACTTAAGAAGAAAATTGGCTCTATATTAATGATATTATTCCTAGGACCAACTAGACAAAGGAAATTTGTATACCTATTTCTCTTCAATATTAAAAAGAGGGCACAAAAAAAAGTAACAAGTAAATCCCGTCTAATAAATATTAGTTAGAATCAGAACCTTCAGACTTTTTAGTATTGAACTTACAATCATTAAGTCGTATTCTTGAATCTTGAAGGAAGGTCATTAAAAACATTCGCCTTTTATGTGTACCGCTATATCAATTGTTTTATCATTTGAGATGACTTTTTGCTTCTTTATTCCATCTGTTATGGTAAGTCACAAAAAACAAAGACATTGTTAACCACAAAAAGTTTAAGACTTTTGTTTTGCACCTAATTTAATAAATTCCTTTCTTTTAATCTTCTTAAATAAAGCGACTTGTGGATAAGTACAAGCAATGAATACTGCTGCTATCGAAAGAGTTCGATATCTTCAATGTTACTAAATATTTTGTCCCGTCATCAATTTACGGAATAAACATTTCTCAGGAAGTTTTAAATCATATTCTTCAATGATTTAAAAACGTAAATAATAAGTCATAATATATAGTGCATTGTTAAATTTTAATAACAAGAGTTATTAAATTTGATTTTCAATAAGCTTGTCGTTAAATATTTTGATATCAGAGATATTTTTGTTTTCATCACAAATCCTCATGTATATTTTGACAAAAGTTAATGAAAGTGAATGAAATGTAATTTACAAATAATTGATGACTTCACATTGTGTCTACGAATATGTTAAAGTGAAATAACACACTGGATTATCTCAGGACATCTGTGTATGACATCTAGGTTCACAAATTTATGGCCCAATTTGACTCGCTTAGAGCGGAATTTCAGCTTTATGCATATTTTATATATAAGTTATAACAATAAGCAATACATCATTTGCATTTATATCTATAATTAAAGATTTTTTGTTTGATTTAAGACATATTAGTCATTGTATTTAATTTCTATTTATTTATAAACACAAAAGAACTTAATGAAAACGAATCGATAAACCTCTATATATAATACTAGCTTTTGCCGCGACTCCGTCCGCGTGGAATAGTGACTTCCGGCAGATTTTTGGTTCTTCCTACATAGTTCCCGTTCTTGCGGGGTTTTCGGAATGGTCGAGTTCCCGTAGAATTTTCAGGATAAAACCTACGTTTCTTTTATTCACAATGAAGTACTCTTAACCAACAACATATTTATTTGTTTATTTGAATAAAGATTAATATTATTATGTTGTTACAACTTAAACAAATTATTTCGACCAAATTAAGTACCATAAAATCGATTTTTGTGAGTTAACCTTAAAAGATAGACATATACTATTGTGGACTGATTTTTAGATCATTAAAAGAGCTATTATTCTTTAATAAGGCTTCAAAGGGAAGGCTTCAAAGATGAAATAATTTTTCCCGTTTTTTACACATTTACCTCTATATCTTTGCTCCTATTGGTCGTAGCGTGATGTTATATAGCCCACAGCCTTTCTCGATAACTGGACTATCCAACACAAAAAGAATTATTCAATTCGAACCAGTAGTTTTGGAGATTAGCGCTTTCAAACAAACAAACAAACAAACAAACAAACAAACAAACAAACAAACAAACTCTTCAGCTTTATAATATTAGTATAGATAATGTCCGAATTATAAATGTCCCAGATTTTAACAAATGTTATTCGCATATTCATAGAACGGTATAAGTGTTCTAACTTATCCACACATAATACTTGTCAACGCTTCTTTGAATTGAATAAGTAACGAGCGTGTTCACAATAACTGCTTTGGAAATATACTCGTAAGTTACAAATCTGTCATCATGATCGATTTATGCCTTCTATATTTTACTGTTTTAACAGTCTTTGAGTAACGTTCAGCACAATATATGTATATGTCAAGAGGTATTTTGTTTCAATCTAGCCTTCATAGCTTCAGGTATATAATGAGTCATTGATTTTTAAGTATAATTATTACTTGTTTTACATAATATTTAGCACATGTTATGTAAGCTAAGGACTACTTCTACTAGGTTGATGGAAAAACCTAAGAAGACTTCCTTAAAGGTATAAAAAAGATGTTATTCCAGTGGTTGCATTAATATTGAGTTAGTTATATTATTATATTTTTAATGCAGTTCTGGTAATTTTAATTTTCATTGCAAAATTATGTAGCGAAAATTAAGTAACTTCATATGAATAAGAAAAAAATATTGGGGAACTATATTTTTCCCTATTTCTTTGCGTACTGCTAGCATGTTGCAAAAAATTGTTACATGTATTTTCATAATCTGTGTATACGAAATTGATAAGATTGCACATTTGTACTATATTATCGTAAACTTGTACGTTTTCATTAAAAATGAAAAGGTAAAATTATACGTTCTAAGTAAAATAGTATGTATATTAATTGGTGTTCAGTTTTTCTCGCTGTAAGCTTGCAGACTGACAGAAAAAAAACTTATCTCTTTTCTGTAGTCCCCTTATCATCGTTAATAAGACTTCGAAGAGTTTTATAAATATATAAAACACGTAACAAATTTTATTCTTTTATAACTTATTAGTATGGTTTATGTTATTTTTTTGTTGGTATTGTAAAGCTCTCCACATACATATCATATATCAGAATGTAGTTTATTACAGTAGGACCCCGATTATCCGGACCTCGGTTATCCGAATTCGCGATTATCCGGACTGCCAATCGCGATGAGTTTATTCTAACATTAACATGTCAGAACTTGCATAACGCCACACCACTTATAACTAGGGCCCGGATAAATATGTATAAAAAAATCAAAAATATGTACATAAAATATGGACGAAAAAATCAAAAAATATGGAGTATAAAATTAAATAATTTCATAATTAAACATTGTTTTACTATAAGAAAGGGTCACTCGTGACATACGTCGTTAAGAAACATTTAAAAAACGATGAAAAAAAGGTGTGAAATATTTATTTCAACAAAAAGTAACACTTTTATTCAACTTCCATTACACTAGCTTTGTCAAATTGGTTGCTATACACAATGACGTGCTTCTTTAAATTATCAAAATGAAAACTGACCATTTGGTCGAAATATAGCCTTATATTTGGTGAATGATCTCTCCACTCACGTGATGGATGCATACTTAAGCATACTTAATTCAGTAATTGTGTAAGCCATGTCTACAGCCCTCGAAACTTTCGCACAGAATTTTGTTAATTTTTTAGCGTTTATATCGTTTATTTTTATCCAAAACATTAGTGGCGGGAACGTAAATTTTATGTTTTTTGTGAATATATGGATGATTGTGACATTTTTTTTGTAAATTATGGCTTAACTTTGAAATATGGTAAAATATGGAAAATAAAAGTAGGTTTTTCACAGTCTAAATATGACAATCCATGTAAAAAACACATTCTAGACCGAAAATCGCGTAAATTAAAAATATGTATTTACATATTAATCCGGGCCCTACTTATAACACGTATACGTACATTATGTACAATTTCTTAATAAAGGTTGATTTTCGCTCATATGTATTTGTTGTTTTAAATAAATACCTAACATTACATATGTATGGTACAGACTACATATGCAAAAAGCCCGTTTTTCTTCATATATTGGATTATCCGGACTTTCAATTATCCGGATGCCTACCGACAACAATTAGTCCGGATAATCGAGGTCCTACTGTATTTTGATTACGTATCATTTGTATGTTAAGGCTACCTAAATCTATATTTCTATTTTAATACGTAGTACAATGGCCAAACTTTAGAAACGATTTTAGAAAGTGTAAAAAAACAAAGTAAAAAGCTGTGGAAAGCAAATTGTAGGTATGTACACAGAAAGTACAAAAATTTCTAAAGTATATATTTTTTAAGTCTTATGAATGAAAGTTAAAAGAGTTGAGTGAAATAAATAACATTAGAAATGAGTAAGAAAAAATGATGTTTAAAACATCACTTATGTATAAATTGCTTCATTACTTGTCCAGATCAACGCAACAATATAATTTATAATTTGCTTATTTCAAATAAGGCTGAATTGTGTTCTCAAATTGAGTACTAATTTAAACAAACATAACTTTAACGTATTACTTACAGCGAATAAATATAGCGTGATGAAATTTTGTCATTTAACTTCAAAAAATATTTGTTACTAAAATTACGATATTAATACAGCTTTATAAAGAAGGTATAAAAGCTTCAAATGTGATGTCATTAATCATTTGTATGAAATGCCAGAATTCATCAATTTATATTTATTAGAAATTTTTTCACCTGACTGTGTTTTGGTCATAATACCATGTAGTCACGAATACTTTTGGTTTGTTGTT